AATTTTTATCTTATTTCAGTATTGTAAGTTGAAGTCTTGACATGAAGCATGACAGCTTCTGCTCTGGGGAGCAGTGCGCTGGTGAGCACCTGTAATAATGTAGACTGGGAAAGAAAAGGTGAAACTTCGAACTTTAAAAATACATCTTGCTAATTGTGAACAAGTGTTATAAACTGAACTTCACTAACTGAGGTTTTTTTTAAGCAAAATGGTGAAGTATGCCTGTAAAAGACTAAAGCAAACCCTAAAATGTGGGAACTAGGATTAATGTAAGTTTGAGCATCTGTAAATCAAAGCTTGTGTTAGGGTTAACTCTGACCTACAGGTGGCTTCCACAGGGATTTTCTAGGTTCTGGCTGTTGCAGGCCATTGCATCAGAAAAAAAAACTTGATCCAAAACTGTGCGTGTTTCTTGTGTTTTAAAAAACACACACCCTCAAAAAAAAAAAAAAAAAAAAAAAAGCCCAACACCTTAAGGCATGTGCTATTTTAGTATTTTTTGGCATATGTGATTTAATAGCTGAGGGATTTTTTATTATTTCTAGTGTTAAATATTGTTTCCTTGCTGTACTAGCAAGAGAAACGCAGCAGTATTGGTTTTTTCCTACAGAATGTGCATCTATCAGTCACGAGATTTTTTTCCCACTTTTCTGACTCAATAGCTTGCAACTGTGTGGGATCTTGTAAGTAGGAGAGCTACTGGCTGTCTTTGTACATCTGACTGAGCAGCGGTACGTGACAGCTTTTTTCCTGTTTTCATCTTCCCTCTGAAAAAAAAAATCATACTTTCTCTTATAGGCAGGATTTGTGACTGTACCTTTATTTGTTGCTGATTTTGTTTAACATGTAATGTGAGCAACTTAGATTGTGTTTTGGGTATCACTTTGCTACTAGCCTGATTTGATGCTTTGTTTGCATGAGAGATGTTACTGAACTTCCTCTGTTGGTCATACCTGGCTTAAAAATCTCCAAAACTTATTTGGGATGGTCTGGATGATCCTGATTTGGTACAGAATGGTGTGTTAGCACAACATTTAGCTAGTGACTGAGTTAATATTCAGGAATCTATCCTTAAGTGGCATTCCTCATGTAATGTAGGTTTCCATTAGATTATGCAGACAACTTATAATGGAACCCTTTTGGGCAACAGTTGAATTTTTTTAATGTCATTTCTAGGTATTAAGGGCATTAAGGTAAATATTTTTTCAGTATAAAGTATGTAAATGTTTCTATGTGCTGTTTTAAAAATGCTTTGGAATATTTTTAAGTCCTGTATTGCTGTAATCCTGCTTAAATGGCAAAAGGCAGTGAAATTGTGTAGGGGAAATGCAGAGCACTCTTTCTTTTTGATTAGTAATGTAATTCTAAAGAAAAATACTTTTGTTTGGTATTGAAATGTAGTGATCTCTCTGTGCTTGTTATTGATTACTGCCCTCTGCTTTAATTAATCTGTCTGCAGTGTCTTTCTCCGCTGCTGAGTTTTGCTTTATATTAGGCACAAACCTCCATGGAGGAATGTCTGCAGCCATTTGTTTTAAAAATTGCTTGTTTTGGTTTGAGTGAAGTACACACGCCTAACTCCTGGTGTAATTTAATGGATTGCAGTGCTGGTTTAGCAGTATCAGAGCTCTTTTTATATCTGGCAGCAAAAACAGAGGCTGGAATCAAAAGATATGAATAAGAGAAGTGGCTTAGGCTTCGCTTGTGAAACAAAGACAAAGGAAAATCGGGAAAGTAACTCCTTCTCTGCAGTGAAGTAGCACTTTGTTTTAATTTTTTCACTTTCTGGACCTCCTTGAACCTCTTGTGTTGGGGAGACATGGGGTTATTGTTTTGGTGCAAAGTATTATGAGCTTGATGGTCTAAGGTAGCGAGGCTGTGAAATCTGTTTACAAAATCTTCATGCAAAAGCAGTTTGGGGTCAAAATTGAAAACCATTTGAGCATGTTCTGGTCCTTTCAGGTGATGTATCAGGCCCTCCTAAGGTTGAACCCTTGTAAAGGCTGAGTGGAGGTCTCAAGGAAGATGTTCTTGCAAGAGCATTTGTGTTTCTGAAATGTGTTTGGGGACTGCTTAAAAAAATTTTACAGGTAAAAGTTCCTGAGTGTATCTAAAAATGCCAATAGGAAAGAAGCTCTTCTGGGATGGATCTAGGTGTAGTGGGCTCCTTATAACATAAGAATCTCCCAGGATGAGGGAGTGTACCCGCACAATCTTCTATTTGACTTCCTTTTATTATGAAATCCTAGTGGAATATTATTAGAGTTTTAAAAGGTAAGGAAATTCAAGGTCAGTAGGTGAATAAACTTGTAGTAATGGAAGCCATTGTTTTAACTCCTTTAGCTTTCCAGTGATATTCTTGTTTGTCAATTCTTAAGAATTATAACTGTATATATGGCTGTATATATAAGTGCATGCAGCCTTAATTTTATTTCATTGAGGCTCAAATATTTGAAGCTTGCTGTGTCACTTCTTAGTAAATGGAAGTGTAGTGGAAAGTATAGCTTGTTTTTCAGAAACCATTGACCAATTTTTCAGAAACTAAGCAGTAGAAGCCAAGTTTGGAAAGGCTTTTTTACTATATTGATGCCACTATTGTGACATCTGGACAGTCTTTATTCCTAAACTGTTCTTGCTGATGGGTGTTAAAGCTTAATATCTGCGAATTGGTTTCTTCAGTGTTTGATTTGAGACATTTTTTTTTCCCCAAAAGAAGTTTTCTTCCTCAAGGTTCAGCTGAAGTGAGTTGATTTAACAGCAAATAAACCCTCACGCCCTTAAAGCCTGTATGCTGGAAAGCATAATGGACCGTAGGCATCTTCTTTCCTTGTAGCAAAACACCCTCGTGTTCTATGTTTGGACATAACTTTCTGCTAAGCTGTAATGTGAAAAGTCAGCCTTGAGAATATCCGTGTGAAATATAAGCTGTTACAGTCCTGGTGCTTTGGTGTCTGTACAACCACGTGGTTAAGATCCTGTAGCAGTGGGAGCAGTATGGCCTTGGAGTTAGTAGCAATAGAGCATGTATTTTGGTCTCTTTAAACTGTTTCAAGCTTGGATTTGACTCAATCTCCTCCATTAACTCCTAGAGCAGAAGGAGGTGAGAAAGTGTGCTTAATAAACTTGATATTCTGCAATTGATGCAAAAACATGTGTAGAGCTAGGTGTAGGTAGTATAGTTAGCCTGAGATTTTGGCTTTAATTCTAGGTGTAAACATGAATGACATTTTACAGCCAGTTAAACTGCTGAAAAACCCAGCTCTTCAATTGCTGAAACATCAAGTCAGCTTAAGGGGGAAATGGTCAAAAAGTTTATTTTCTCTTGAGGAGGTGAGGATTGCTTTAGAAATCTTTAATTAACTATTTGAGAGAAACATTTCTTTTGACAAATGTACTACTAATCGTGTCAGCACACAGGAAGTGTTTCTAGGTATATTTAAAGTTTGTATTTTCTTCTCTTGACTAAGAGTATCTGTGGTGATGCAAGTGCTGTACAGTGAGGTGCTTTGCTGTGCTGCTTTTTAGTTGTTCAGTCTACATAGAACAAAACTTAAGATCTTAAAAAATACAAGTAATCAATCTTGACCTTTAAAAAAATGAAGTGCATTGTTGTTTAGTTGTGCTACTGTCACATATAAACAGTGTTTGGTGACTTGCATATTTCCAGCATTTGGCCTAAGTTGGGTTTGTGCATGTCATCATTCACTTAAACTTGTAAAATGATTCAGCCCTTTCCTTTTGCGAAGGGAAATACAGCTTAGACTTACTGAATTTCAGGATCTGTAAATGAATAGTTAAATACTTGATTTTCTTTACTAAGATTCAACTCCTGAGTTTATAAATTGGTGAAGCTGAAGCTCTCTGATAGTTTAGAATTTGAAGATATCTTGAAAGTCCTGAATTTGGAAGAAATTAATTTCCCTTATTTTCTGGTTATAGTTTCTGGTACTTGGTGGGTCAGCCTTTGGCTGATTTGTCCTAAGTGGGTGGTAATAATTAAGTGAAATCGTGTTTTCTGCCCATGTATCTGAGAGAGTTAAATGAGATATTAACAGCTTATTGATTAAATGGTTCTTGAAACTGCAAGTTGTGATAAAAGTAGCATGCTAATATTTGCTACTTTATAGACCAGTTTTGGTCTGAGTACTGAACTTAAGTGTGAAGCAGGGGATAAGTAAGTCTCCTTTCTTACAGTTGTATTGTGAGCATGATTAGGTGGTAAAACATTTGGACAAAAACTCTCAGCTTTCTTTAGGCTTGGGAGAAGAAATACTAAGGCAAATGGTGAAAATGAACTGCACTGGTATTTTTTATGGGCTGCTTTAAAATCTGGCTTGGGGCTGAACTCTATTCCTCTGTGCGACTTATTTTCTTGAAAGATAAAAATAAAATTTTCAGTCTGATGGTAAAGCATAGACAACTGTTATTGTAAGTTGGAAGCTAAAGAACTTCCACTTATTTGCTAAATAAAAATACAGTAGTTTTTCTGTTTGCTAAAGGGTGTTTAAAGGAGCAGATAAGTACCTCTTGGTAGAATTTCCTGGTTATAAATTGCAAATTTTCTTCTATTTCTGCTTCATTTTTACACTTTGACTGTGGTGGCTGCATTTCTATCAGTGACACCAACTGTTATTTGAAGGGCTAAAAAACTTATATTTTGGAGGAACAAAGTCAAACAGTCTAGTTACTTTCTTCCAAGAAGTTTTACCAAATCTCACAGCTAAACTTTTAAAGTTAGTGTTGCAAGACCTGAATGTGTTTTACCATTCCACGTCCCTTCCTGTGGATGACATGTATGAAGGTTTCTTCCTTTCTGTCCTACTGAGTGAAATAAAGTAACAGTGCATAATAGTTAAATGTGAGGGGGTTCCCTTGCATTGCTTACGTTTTGTGATTGATATTGCATTTTGAATCTTTTATTTGGTTTATGCAGATGGCTTCTACTTATATAAACTTAACGTTTGAATTCTTGAAAATGCTGCTTTTCTTCTCCATTTCAGTGCAAAAGATGACATTGATATTGATGCCCTTGCTGCCGAGATAGAGGGTGCGGGAGCTGCAAAGGATCAAGAGCCTCAGAAATCCAAAGGCAAAAAGAAAAAAGAGAAGAAGAAACAGGATTTTGAGTAAGTTTGGTTTTTTTTCTATCTGTCTGATCTTATTCCATTATCCAAAACCTCAGTTACTTAAGTACCCTAACTTCTTTCTTATTTTAGTGAAGATGATATCCTGAAGGAGCTGGAGGAACTGTCAATAGAGGCGCAAGGAGGGAAAGTTGACAGGGAACAGCCTTCTACAGGAAAGGTGAACACTGAGAGGGAGGTGGGCTTTTTAACAGAAAATTACTAAAATGTGAGACACCTCTGTCCCAGAGAAGCGGCAGTGATACAGTGTAGTTGGAGATTCTATGTGAAACATGCAGCTAATGTGTTTTTTTAATGATACTTGATCATATTTTCATAATAAAGTCAATTTTGAAAGATTTTACCAAAAGCCATGTCTTCATGCTGATAATTATGCAAAGCCAGTCAGAAGAAATTTGAATTGTGGGCTAACGTATGATACGCTCAGAAGGAATGGTTATTGCTTTCAAACTTTGTCTTCAATAAAAGAGTTTTTTCTTGGTGTATCTCAGTGCTACTTCTTAGCTCATGATGGCAAGTAATATTTTATGCCTGATTATTGAATTGTTTAATTACCAGGTTGAAAGCGACAATGAAGAAAGCTTATCAAAACAAGATAAAAAAAGGAAAGGAAAGAGTAAAAAAGCCAATCTGGAAAATGACTATGACAGTGAGGAAGTGGAAGATAAAGATAAAAAATCCAAAAAACCTCAGAAAGCAAAACAAGACATGCTTTCTGGCAGCGATAATGATGATCATGAGACACAGCTTAAGAAAAGCAAAGGGAAAACTCAGAAGTCAAATAAAAAACAAGATTTGTCAGAAGAAGATGAAACTAATGTTAAGAAAAGCAAAGAGCGTGGGGGAGGAGTGTCTACAGGTGAGAGCGGTGATGAATCGGATGATGTCTCCCAGTCTAGAAAAGGACAAAAGAAAAACCAAAAGCCAAAGTCCGCTCCTGCTGCTGAAAGTGGGGATGATGAAGAAGAACCTTCATTCAAAGTAAAAACGGTGGCCCAGAAGAAGGCAGAAAAAAAAGAACGCGAAAGAAAAAAACGTGAAGAAGAAAAAGCCAAACTCAGGAAGCAGAAAGAGAAGGAAGAATTAGAAGGCGGTAAAGAACCAGCAAAGCCAAAAGAATCTCTAAAAAAATCCGAAGAGAAGGCATCCCCTGAAATCACAGCAGTCCCTGGCCCTGGGGAAAAAGGAGAGACTCCTGCAGGAACAGAGGGTTTGTAATATCTAAAACTGTAATTTAGACACTGTAGCTTTTATAAGGCCTAAGAGGTGGCAAGCAGTGAGGAAAGTTTGTTGGTTTATTTTGAATTGTGCAAACTAGACATTTGGTAGCCTTGTCTGCCTCTCTGTGTTGGCTCACATGTGGCTGTGTTTTCTGCCTGTAGTTTGTTCAGGTACACGAAAAAATAAAAGCCGGATGATGAATTCTCATTACAATATATGGTTACTGTATTGTAAGAATACTTTTTAATTTCCCAGTTATTGTGTTACTTTAAGGCTTCAGGCCCTGACTTTGGAACTTAAGAGACAGTTTTGTTGGTTTTGTTATGAAGTATTTATGTCGAAGCCAGTGAAAATGTTCCTCATTTGGTGTTATTTATCATATTTCAAACATTAATTTTATTTAGAGTATCTTTGAAATATCTGGGATCTTTAAATGTATGCTGTTTCTTTCTATAGCTGATGACAATGAGGGGGACAAAAAGAAAAAAGACAAGAAAAAAAAGAAGGGTGAGAAAGAAGAAAAAGAGAAAGAGAAGAAAAAGGGTCCCAGTAAAGCCACGGTTAAAGCAATGCAAGAGGCCCTGGCTAAAATGAAAGAGGAGGAGGAAAGGGCAAAAAGAGAGGAGGAAGAACGCATAAGACGACTGGAGGAACTAGAAGCGAAGCGGAAAGAGGAGGTACCGTATATCTCACTCCAAGGATAAAATAAGGGAGAAAGTAATCTTAATCTGTATGCTTGCTGCTGCGGTTGGTGAATGACACTCAGGTACATGGTGTGACTCTTGGGGGTGTCCCTGTGCAGGCCTAAGGGTTGGACTTGATGATCCCTGTGGGTCTCTTCCTACTCAACATACTCTGTGAGTTAGTCCTTAATATGTTTCTCATGAACAGAATATACTGTTGAGCAGCTTTCGTGCAAAGCATGCTTTAAAATTTCTGCACGTTGCCTAATTTTTTCTAGGAACGATTAGAGCAAGAGAGGAAAGAAAGAAAGAAACAGAAGGAAAAAGAGAGGAAGGAGCGTTTGAAGAAGGAGGGAAAGCTTTTAACAAAAGCTCAACGAGAAGCCAGAGCCAGAGCAGAGGCTACTCTTAAACTACTCCAAGCTCAGGGTAAGCAGTAAAATTTAAAATAATAATAATTAAAAAAACCCCACAAAACAAAAAAACCCACTCAAACTTCATACCTGTTACTGCTCTGTGTTTTCACTGTTTGAAGTTAGGAGGGCAAGTATGTAGTGATTCCATGTAAAACTGCTCTGTTGTCAAGGAATGCAGTGTATGCCTTCCTCCCCCAAAGTAGGTTTAAATGTCTGTATTTTCATCTTACACTTTAAATGTCCAACTTTTTAGTGCATTCTGCTTGCAGTTTAAAGATGTTAGTTGTGAAACTTAAAAAAAGGCACTTAAAGAAGTGTCTTAGTCCAAAGGTCAGGGAAAGCAGATGGGCTGTGCTGCAGATCTTGTAAAACCGGCGATCTGGATCTTGTTGAATTAATTCACGTCTAATTAGGCAAGTGCATCGTTTTGCCTCAAGTTAGCTAGTCCATGGGGATGATATGTTATCATCTTGGATTTGCAGGGGTATGTAGGAGCTTTCCTGCTTTTATGTGAAATATAATCTGTTTCCGTTGCAATGAGCTGAATTGTACCCAATATATTGTGAGTAAAATGTCCTGATTAGTTCTTGGTGACTGGTTTGTGACTGAAAAAGGAAACTCATTCATGAGTGGTGTGTATCTTTGTAGGGAACGCTCTCTGACAGTTTACTGGTGGGTGGATGTATAAATGTAGGAATCTCTTTAGCTAGTAAAATATTTGGGGCTCTTAAACATACATAAAGGCCATTTTTCCTTGGTCATTGCTGTAGTGTATTAGAATCCTTCTGTTTATGTGCCCCTACAACTGGATTTTTGTCAAATCTACAATGTAAATCACACAGTACCTGAAGGAATTTTGAGTGTTTCAAAAGGTGCAGCAGTAATTAAATTATTAATTTGTCTTTGCATCAAACTTCTGTTTTTGGTTGAATCCCTTCATACATTACAGTGCTTGCTTTCTGGTGAGGCAAAGATGAAGCTGGTGAATTGAACCTGGTGTTATTTTAATGCCTGAAACAATCACTGTTAAATAAAAAAAAATTCTGAACAACACCCCTCCAACATGGCACAAAAGGGAAAATACTATGTGGTGAACAGCCTTAAGCATTTCAAAGAGTTGTGCCTCTGAACTACTCCAAATTGTCTGAAACTATGACCATTGGTAGAGAATGAGTTTTCACGTAGGAGGTTTTAAATTGTTAGACTGAGATATGTGTTCATGAAATCCTATGTAGGTCTGTGATAACTTCAATCCTGCAATCTTAAAATCTGATTGGATTTATTGTTTATTTTTTGTTCATCATCCCCTTCCCCTGGTTATTCAACTTCTTTTTGAGAGCGTTTGGTAGTATCTGATGAATGATACTTCGATTGAGTTTTGCAGCTTTTGAATTCAGACTTTTAAAAAAGATAAAGTATGCATCGAACCTACTTTCCACTCTTTCTTCCTCCATCTTCTAATTTTGGAAAACATGTTCTCATTTAAACCAAAGTTTGTTTATCAGTTACCTGGATTTTCTTTCTAACCAATTTTTTTTTTTTTTCACAGGTGTTGAAGTGCCATCCAAAGACTCTGTGCCAAAGAAGAGGCCAATATATGAAGACAAAAAGAGAAAGAAGCAGCAGCAGCCAGAAAATAAAGAAGGTGTGGATTGCATGGATTCTTAATAGATTAGTCTCATTTCTGAAAGTGTTTATGAAATAAATCAGCTAATGCTAAAATAATTGCACTTCAGGGTGCCTCTGAGGTTCTTTTGACACCCCTGCCCTCACATCAAAGTGCTGATGCCTTAGGATCCTAAAGTTGCTTTGAAGGCTGCTCACTTAATCCTTTGTTTTACAGTCTACTTGACTGTTATTTTTTCCTAACCTGGGTATTGTCTTTAGATGTTTTTAACTGTTGGAGATGTCCAGGATGTAAAGGATGTCCTTGCACGAATGTGATGTTGAATGCTTTGTGTGCGTATGTAGGTCAAATACAAAGCAGTGTTAGTAATAATGACTTATAATTAAGTCTAAGTTGATGTCCCAGGATGAAAGGGTATTGATCCCCAGTTTAGTTCTGTTCTTTTAAGGTGGAGACAGTTTGTTCACTTGTTTTCTTGCATATAAAAACAGATTTCGATTCCTGGGTGCAAGTCATTGAGAGTAGTTCAAAGAGCTTACATTTTTGAAAACTTAAGTTTATTGCACTAGTTAAAGTGGGTTGAATGTGTCAGCTTTTTACTTTTGTGGCTCATGGCTTTCCTCTGGAGGTATTACTGTGGCTCTTTTCAAGACTAATCCTTAATTTAAAGAATTCAGATTTACTTCTTATTTAGCTTTTTTTTTTTTCATTTGACATGAGTTATGTGACTACTTACCAATTAAGCAATATGTGTAAAGAACTGAAACGGTGCTCATCTGAATTGTGTTGGTGACTTTTTATTTTTATTGGAACAGTAGGGAAAGTATGGCTAGTTCATTAGTGTTACTTCATTTTCTCTTATTTTTAAAGAAAGTGAGGATGCTTTTAATGTCAAAAGCAATAGTAATCCTCTTAGCCAATGACTGATCTATCTCATAAAATCTGTTCAGCTGCTTAGAAAGCCGAATGTTTTCCAAATAAGCTGGCGTGGAGCTGTATGTCTAAGCTGGTTTGCTCTTTGGAAGAATGTTGCAACCAATTTCCTGTCTTGCCATTTCAGAAAGTGTGGAGGTAACTTCCCCAGCTGAAGATGCTGTAGAACTGGAAACACCAGTGAAAGAGGACACTCCTCTTCCAGTAGAGCCAGGTTGGTAGTAAATGCTAATAAGCTTCAAACACTTCAGCCTGTGTGTCAGTGCTGCATGAAAGTTATCATACCTCATTGGATGGGGCTGAGGGGCCATTCTTTCTTGAGGTAGTTGCCTTTTTTTTTCTTAAGGTTGGAACTGAGGAATTTTATGGAATAAAGAGGCGTGAAGCTTCAAAATGAGAAAGTAAAGGTCCCTTATTCTGGGTGAACTCCAGTGTTCAATTTGCTTAGGCAGATAGCTCAAATAAGCACATCCAGTGCCTTATGATTCACTCTCCTTGACTTCTCATTTGCTTCTTACAAGGCTGTTTGTCAGCATTTAGGTGAAGGTAGGGAGGAAATACGCTGCCTCTGGTGTTGATAGTGTAATATTCACAGTGATTGTATTCTTTGTGTCAGATGTTTTGCTTTCACGAGTGCTGAATGCAGTGGATACGGGTCAGCTTGTGCAAATGAGTTACCAGCCTAGCAAGTGATTGTTTCCCTCATTTTTGCCTATGCACACAGCACTTGTTTTGTCAAAATGGCGTCGTACCAGACTTCTTCCTCAGCAAGGAGACTGTTTCAATTTTTACCTTAAAGTTAGACAAAATGCAGGTTTTGAAAACAAAGCTGAATGTGTGCTCTAATTCTGACTTGACTTGTCACATGATTGCTAATTCCATTGCCATAAGAAAAGGTCTCACTGGCGGAATGTAAGTTCCTAGTTAATATTCTAGCAGTGTGGAACCTACTCTTCATTTCAGAGAGCTGAAATTTTGGAATTCAACATATGCTGCAACAAATATATATTGTAAAATGCCTCTTTTGGAGAGGGTTGCAAGTTTGCATTTTTGCACTTACCTGTTTTTAAGAGTCTCTTCATATATCTGACTGAATTCCTGCTGAATTAATAAATCTAGTGCTTCTGAAATCCATGGTATAATTATGTTGAGGCACCTGGAGTCCTTTTTACAGACAATTTGTATTTTGCCACTAGTTAAAGTTATACTGCAACCCAACTTGTATTCGTGTTTCACTTTTATTAGGCATGGCTACCTGTAAATTGGGCAGCTCCTCTCAGGGATCGTGGTTGTGGTAGAGGTTTGTGTGGCAGGCATTATGCTGGCACGGGCACGATATGCAGACAAGAACTAGATGAGTAGATTTGCTGTGTCTTCCACAAACATGTTTCACTAGACGAAGATGCTAGGGCTATACAATTTTTGTGGAGAGAATTGGAGATTATTTCTTAAGTTCTTGTGGAATGTGGAGATATTCGATAGAATTATGGTAACAAGTAACTTGTAAGTTGCAGCTGTCAGTATGTCAGAAGAAGGGGCATCTAAAAATGTTGTATGTTGCTGGACTGACTGTTTCTTTACATGTTGGATTTCTTAGTTTCAGAAGAAAAGGAGGAAGAAGATGAAGCTGAAGATGCAGGCTTGGATGACTGGGAAGCTATGGTTAGTGATGAAGATGGAGAGAAAGGTGGGCATGTAAATACCAAATATGTGCTTTTTCTGGTTAAGGGATTTCTTTGGGCTGAGTTTTCTGTTTCTGTAGAAAACTATTTTATTTAGATATTTCCTCTGCTCCAGTAGATAAATAGTGAGGTAAGTGGTGATATAGATATAAGAACCTCTTCTCAAAGGCAGAGCTTTCAGAAGCTGCACAAATACTGCTTGAGACAAACCTTTGGAAATAGTCACTGGTGTAGAGTTACCACCTAAAATAAATTGATTGAAATTTTTTGTTCTTTTTTATGGGACTAAAAATCCTCTTAATATGTGCTTAAACCACATCTGAGAGTTTAGGGAAACCTTTTACCTGGTGTTGTATATCTCTAGTAATTGTTCCAAAGCCATAGCAGTTTCTCTACACAAATCTGGCAACATCTAGGAGATGTACTCTCAAAGAAGTGGGGGACAAAACGGTGTGAAGGTTCATGGGCATGCCCTATAGTAAGTTCTCTCCTACAAGGAAAGACTTAGAGAATTGGGGTTATTCAGCCAGGGAAAGAGGCGGCTTTGGGGTGACCTAATTGTGGCCTTTAATACCTGAGGGGAACCTACAAGAAAGATGGAGAGAGACTGTTTACAAGAGCATGTAGTGACAGGAAAAGGGGGAACAGATTCAAACTGAGAATGGGTTTAGTTTAGATATTAGGAATAAATTCTCTACTGTGAGAGTGGTGAGACACTGGGAACGGGTTGCCCAGAGAAGTTGTGGGTGCCCCATCTGTGGAAGTGCTCAAAGACAGGCTGGATGGAACTCTGAGCAACGTGGTCTAGTGTCCCTGCCCATGGAAGTGGAATTGGAACAAGATGGTCTTTAAGGTCCCTTCCAACCCAAACTATTCTGGGATTCTATGATATGCTTCTTTCAGAGGTGAGGGGGAAAAAAAGGAAAGAATTACTATAACATCTATATTCTTGTGTATATATGCCAAAAGCCATATTCTCTCTGCACTCAACAGCAATTTTTATGGGGAACTTGGAGCTGTACAAGAGTCCAGGATAAATTCTCAGATATTTCCTTCCGGTTGGAGGAATGTGTGAGCCATCCTGAGCAGGAGTTGGTTAGTGGTCCTAGTGCTTCCATAATGTGTCTGCATTGGTTCCTATTCTCAAAGGCTGTTTATTCATCAAGAACTTTTATTTGCTCAGGCCTGTACTTCTGACACCTGTGCTTTCAGGTGTGATTCTGTATCTACAGACACGTACAGCAGTATATGGGTTTCATTCCAACACAAGTGTGTTCCTGTGGTGCTGGACTGTTCTGCTTCCAGTTCTAAGGGCTGCTCAGACAGTTTTAGTCTGGCACCACTGTGCTGGGGAGGACATTGCACTTCTTGCTGCTTGGATTTGAAGGCTCTGCCAATGGGATCCAATGAGCTTTCCTGGGAATTAGATTTAGTGTATTACTAAGCCTAACTGATGGACTTTTAGCGTAGTAAGGAAACATAACTAATCTCTAAGAGCGGTGAGCCTCCTAGCAGCACTCTAAGAAGGAGAATGCATGGCTTTAAAGTGTTCTTGTGTGTTCCAAGTGTTAGCTTGCCTCTTACGATTTCTGAAGTAATTATAAATGGGAAGCTTTCAAAGAAAGAAAATTACTTTTTGATAGTTCTTTTTCTTTGTTTACTGAAGAATTTGTTTGAAAAATAATCATCTTCTCTGAACGGTCCAAGAAAATGTAAGAATTTTTTTATAGTTGTAGGAGAAACCACTTGTTCTGATTGTTATGTCTGCTTAAATGTGCACTCCTGATCAGTAGCATACAGAACCCATATAGTAATGAATTAGGAGTATTTTGGCTTTCTTTTTAAAGGTGGTGTTGCATTCATTCCTTTATGAAGTGCATACAGCTTTAAAAGATGTCACTTTGTCTGAATATTTGCAAGTAATGTCAAGCATAAATGTGTTGATAATATCGTTCTTTCCCCCAGCCCAAACTTGCTCTGCTTGCCTGGATTCTAAACACGAGTCAGCAGCTGTGAGCATGAAACACTTTTACATTGCAAGTTGAAAAATTATCTTGACAAGCACTTATTGTAGAACCTACTCTGTCCTCACTCTTCTGTAGTAGTCTCTCTTTTGCTTTTTGTTGCCTGCTCCCCTATAAGTGTGAATTTAATAGAGAATTTTCACTTCAATTTTTTTTTTTGACAGAGAGCAAACCTGTTCACATTGAAGTCAAAGAACAAAATGAAGTGGATGAGGAAGAGGAGGAAGAAGATGAGGAGGAGGAAGAGGAAGAAGAGAGTGAAGAATCTGAAGATAGTGAAGGCAGTGAAGATGAGGATGAAAAGACTTCAGATGAGAGAGAGGCAGACTCCCAAGCTATCAGAAAACAATCTATGGAAAAAAAGACCAGCAAGGAAATTAGCTCTGATTCTGAAACCGACTCTGACGATGACCGCACTAAGGAAGAGCGTGCTTATGACAAAGCTAAACGGAGAATTGAGGTATTAAGATACAGTTGGACTCTTGTGTTGTATAAGAAACACTTTTCAGTTAATTGAAAAGCCTTTTTGTCAAATTTGTCAAAATGGTGGCTGTGTCAGGACTAATGTTTAGGCAGGTTCAGAAATTGTCTTAATTAAGAAAAAACCACCTGGTTTTGTCTGAAGATGAAATATTTGCTTTTAGGCAACTTGAGCACAAAGATGACAATTTCAGTGTTGTTCCCCTCCACCTCTCTCCCTCCTGGAGAAAGAGGCTTTTATCTGTTACAGGTAGATATTTCCAAGTTTTAAAAGGTGCGTTTAAACTGTTCAACACTTTTGTGGCTGCTGCTGTTCTTGGTTTCTTCACCCAAGATACTTCTTCAGAATGCACCATCAACAAAGCTGCGTGTTAGCGGATATAATAACTTAGGCTACTAGAGTATAAGCAAAACCAAACAAACAGGAACTTAACTGTTAGTTGAAAATTTTTGATTTGACAAAAGAGGGATGGCAGACCATGAATTGCCTTGAAAATGTAAGTCCTGCAAGTTAACACTGTGTTTGTATGTATGTAATCAAGTCAAGAGGTGAGCTGTGGTTTTTGGTTTATGCTTACCAATTCTTGTTGTCTTTTACGTAGAAACGACGAGCTGAAAACAGCAAAAATATGAACACTGAAAAGCTCAGAGCACCAGTTATCTGTGTCCTGGGGCATGTAGACACGGGCAAGACCAAAATTTTAGATAAGGTGAGGTGTGGAGTGTGAAGGCACTGCCTGTGTGTCTTCTTTATGCATGTGGGGTTTTTTTGGTTAAAGACAGGAATAATTAAAGTGCGCTCAGAGAACCTTAGTCTCTCACATGTCAGTACTTCTGGTCTGTTTTTTGCTTTTAGCTCCGCCACACGCACGTGCAGGACAGTGAGGCTGGTGGTATCACTCAGCAGATTGGTGCCACTAATGTTCCCCTTGAAGCCATCAATGAGCAAACCAAGATGGTGAAAAATGTAAGTTGCAGCGCTTCAACAACTGTTTCTTAGATATGAAATGAAACTAATTAAGGACATGTGAGATTTCCTTACATGGACAGATGTACTTATCCCCTATCTCTAATTTTGGGGTTGTTTTTTTTTATTATTTTTTAAATTCTTATCCTTCCCCCACCAAAGGGGGAGGCTGTCTTTTTTTTCATTTTCATTGATACATTTGGTTTCAATTAATGCATTGTCCCTTCTGAAGAAAAATATGCAAATACTGCTTACTCTGCTCTGGACAGTGCATATCAGTGCATAGACTGCTTATTTGTCAGTATTTTGATTGTAAATGGAGACTTTTTGAAATCTGCTGAGTATATTTTCTGTTAAACTTACCATTTGCTGTACGTACTGGAATTGGGCCAGTTCCTGGGTGATTCACTTTATTGTGTTACAGAAATAGCAACTGTTCTATATTGCTTGTTTTGGATACTATATCCTATTTTGCTTGCTGCAGCAGCTGACTGAAAAACCTTGGTAGTGATGGCTTTTTCCAAGATTTTTTTTAATTTATTAAATATGTAAAGTCAGGGGAAAGGAGAATATCATCAAGACAAGGATGATAAATCTCACTACCCTGTAGGCTTTAGATTATGACCACTTGATACCTAGGGGAATGTGCTACTTTAATATTGAAATGAGCTTTGGCTGATTTGGTTTATAAAGAGTGCTGACCTTTCTTAATATATGTATCTGGATTCTTGAAGTGCAGGATATCAGTAATGTTGCCAGCTCTTGTTTTAATTCTTGTGCAATCTCTATAAGAGAACTAATATTTTGAAATGTTAGTTTGACAGAGAGAACATAAAAATTCCAGGCATGCTGATAATTGACACTCCAGGACATGAGTCTTTCAGGTAATGTTTTCTCACAATGTTTGTACGTACTAGAAGTGACGACTGAAACTTATTTTTAACAAAGTGCGAGGTCTTTGCCTAATTCATTGTGTTGGTTCCCACTTGAAAAAAAGCCCAACCAAACCAAACTTAAGTAGAGGAATAAGTGGATTTGCTTCATTTGCAGGTGCTTTTTATATCTGGTTAATTGCTGGCCTTTTATAGCTGATTAATTTTCTGTCTTCGTGCCAGTTGAGCCATGAATATCTGAAAAAGCATGTAAATAAATAGTTAATGTACTAAAGAGAAAGATGGAAGCAGGAAGCTAGCTGGAGAAGAAAAGGTGAGAATTTCAGGTGACCTAAGTGCTATGAAAACTTAAAACTTCTGTCCTAGTCTCCTGTTCATAGTGTCAATGTTAAGGTAACTGAGTTCATAAGACTGGGAGTTACTAATTGCACAAATCATCTGAGTCTTAGAAGAGATCAAATACTGTCTGGTGGCATGCAGGCAAGCCACTAAATCAGCTTCGAGGTTAAAGCGTGGCATGCATAACGAAACTCACTGGGATGAAATCTCCAAACAGAAGGATTAAGACTTTATAAAGTATCAACCTTTGCAAGCATTGAAATGCCATGTTGTGGGGCACTTGTTAATGTCAAGATCAGTAGGTTGGCATCGTACCACTTACAGCTCCTCCATCTTCTAGCCAGGTTTTGTTCGGCACCAAAGATGTGATAGTCTGTTTATACTGTTTAAAAAATATAACATAGTATATACATTGTGCTTCTGTAGCATTGTATAAAAAAAATGTCTTGTTCAGGTTTTGCACTCCTGTATTTCACTTTAACTGTCCCATTTCTGGCTCAGAAGATGATCAGAACATGTCTTACAGGGTAAAAATATATAATATGAGAACTCTTGGGAGAATAATAGTTCTTATTTTTGCTTACACATACTTTAATAAATTCTGTTAAATTTACAAAGTGTCATTTGAACTTGTTTTATGTAGTTTACATTTTTGAGGGGAAATAACTACTTGATCAGCTTTAGCTTTTTTTTTGTCAGTGCAAGTTTGACATTGTACTTTGTGTTTTTATTAAAATTCTGTTGCTACATTACTGATTTTTTTTATTTTTGTCTTTTAATGCCACAGCAATCTAAGAAATAGAGGAAGCTCGCTTTGTGATATTGCTATACTTGTAGTTGACATCATGCATGGTTTGGAGCCACAGACAATTGAATCAATAAATCTGTTGAAATCAAAGAAATGCCCCTTTATAGTAGCTCTCAACAAGGTAGGATAACTTTTTACTTTAATAGTGTATTTCCCTATGCAAAAAATGTATTTGGCATTTGACAATTGTCTGTTTTTTTTCCTTGAACTGGAATTTTTTGTGTGAAGTCTGATGTGATGGTTCTTGGATCCTGTGTTTATAATTTTTGTGTCCTTGATACCACGATGGCTTTACGGGAGCTTTGCAGAACAGGCAGTTCTTCTTGGGTTTTGTTTACCTTACATAACTTCTGTATATGATTCACGCTTCTGGAAGTTGTACTTCAGTTGTGGTGTTTACATGATTTTTGTACGTTTTCTGATACAATTCACACACAAGCTTCATGTTGAAAAGTCACACTTTATTTAAGCCACTGATACTTGTTAGTTTGACTTTAGGACAAGCTGACTTTAAGCACTCAGAGCAGTAATGTTGATCAGTGGTGCAAAGTGTTTTGGCCTTTGCAGTATTAGATGGTAAAGTAGCCAGTTTCTTTCAGCCCTGTTTTTAGAAATCCTGTGCATGAGAAATTATGCTGCCTGTTTGTGATGACTTGATGAATTACATGTAATTCATATGAACATACAGATGAATTATGAATGTGGAAATTACTCATGTCCAATGACTTGGGAAGCCATCTGACATGCTGACAGAACTGTCAGAACTATTCATGTGGAGTGTGAAAAGTGCAGTATACTTCAAAAAACGAAAGGAGCGTTAAGATTGAAGGTGGTTGGAACTGAGGAGGCCATTATCTCATTGCTAAAAACGACTACTTTTTAAAAAGAACCCAAACAACCCACTGGATGGAAAGGTGTTAAGACCTTATGGCAGAATAGTAAATAGTTCAGTCTCAGTTTAGACACGAAGACCCAGCTACGTTTCACAGCTGTCACAGGCCTACAGTGAGCCTGAGATTAAATAGCCAAAAGTTCCTGCATTTCAAGTTACAATTGTATTGTTTGACCAGATTATAATCCATTTTCTTAAGATGTAATTTTGATTTTGTACAAATGTAATAGTTTTTTGGACTAAGTCAATCCTGCTTTGGAAAGTTATTTGGGGAAGTGTTTTTTAAGTACAGAGTTATATCTTCTGAACAACTCACTATGGTCCCTTCTCTGTAGCAACACAGGAAAGGGTCCAAATTCAATAATAAGTTTTAGAAGTTCTATGTAAAACTAGTACAGTCTCTTTTTGGGGGAAAAAACCCCAACACCTCATGATTTCTGAGATGTTTTTGTGTGTTATGTGAAGCTATACATGGCTCTCTTTCTTCTGAATGTTTTATCTTAAACTTGATGCAATTAATGCATATAAATCTTTTCCATATGAACCTCGATTATTATAGCTTGAATTTTTAAAACCTGAAGTAGTATTGCCATCCTGAAATGATATCTGACATTGGGTAAATACATAAACAGAGCTAAATATAGCGGCTAAAGCAGATAGAAAAGATTTAATTTGATTACTGGAGCAGATAGATGGCTGGCTAAGTTGGTTGGTAAAGTGTTTCTCACCGATAATGTGGCATAAACATAAAGATGCCCTTTAGTAAGCTGCATAAGATGACCTACTGTTGTATTTTCAAGATTGATAGGTTATATGATTGGAAAAAAAGTCCAGATACAGATGTAGCTGTCACCTTAAAGAAGCAGAAAAAGAACACAAAAGATGAATTCGAAGAACGCGTAAAAGCTATCATAGTAGAATTTGCAAAACAGGTAGGCTGGAATATTCAAGATTCTTTGCTTAACAAAAGTGATAGAAAAGGGGTGGGTGGGTGGTGTGGTTTGTGTATGTTTGTTTTGGGGTTGTGCATGTGTTTTGTTTTGTTTTGTTTTTTCCCTCTTCCACAAAACACCTCAGAATATCAAGAAAACTGTTGTGTCTCCCCTGACACATTGGTGTTTACCTCTCATAAAACAAACTTCGTTCTTGTTACATTAATCTGTTTTAAGTGCTTCATCCTTGAAAGTGTTAGTGTGGAGAAAAGTAGCTAATTGCTGTGCATGGTCAATGGAGCCATGAATAGCAGATGAAGTTTTATGTCCCTGTTCTTTTTCTCTTTGGGAATATCCCGAGAGAATCTCATCTGTCTCTTTTTCCTTTGGATACTGGCAGGGTATGAATCACATCAGTTCTGGGAACTTCTTCTGTTAGCGTAGAAGCTAAATGGGCTAATTAACTTTGTAGTGTTATCCCACACTGCTTCCAAGTGTGAATTGAGGCTTCATGTTCCATAGCATACTGTCAGTAACAGTGTTGTTTTTTTAATCTGGGCTTTAAAAAATGCAGTGGTACTTGAGTGGGGTTGAATGTTTCTGTTAACACTGATGTATATGTTTTTCCCTGTGTAACTATTAATCCTGATTCCAGGGCTTGAACGCTGCCTTGTATTATGAGAATAAGGATCGCCGCACTTTTCTTTCTCTTGTACCTACCTCTGCTCACACAGGGGATGGCATGGGAAGCCTGATAGCTCTTCTCGTGGAGCTCACGCAAACTATGCTGACTAAGAGGCTGGCTGAGTGTCAGGAACTGAGAGCTCAAGTCATGGAGGTAATCCAGCAACTCTTCCTAGAAATTCACACAGAAATTTCTCCTTTCCCTGTCCCTCTTTTTCTGGTAAAAAACTGTATGTTTGAGTCCTTAAATAGGGAGTAACTTTTTTCACCTTTCATTCAGGTTAAAGCACTACCAGGCATGGGCACTACCATAGATGTTATTCTGATTAATGGACGCCTGAAAGAAGGAGACACCATTATTGTTCCTGGGGTAGAAGGTCCTATAGTGACTCAGATTAGAGGTCTTCTGCTACCTCCTCCTATGAAGGAGCTACGAGTTAAGGTACGGCAGCTGGTTTTAGTGTTCTGGCTTTTAAATCCAGGAAAAAACAAACCAAGCTTTATGAAAAATGGGAATGTAGTAGAGTTCAGCTGTATTAGCAGTATCTAAGGGTGGCCTCAAGGGAAAGACAGCGCACACGTGGCATTTTTTGTGAATGTACTTGTACGTACCTATTTGTGTGTGTGTTGTTACAATACTGGCCAGGAAAAGGATCGAGGAATTACCTTGCAGTGAGGATTAGGATGTGCATGCTTTAATACGGGATTCAAGCATTTGGCTATGTGTGAGAGGGAGATACCCATCTTAAATGGAAACTGGAGTGTACTGGTACAGTGACTTCTGAGTTCAAATTACATCATTAGTAAAAATGGGGTTTTTTACTAACAAAAATCATATATACTTAGGTTTGAGAAAAGTGAACAAGTGAGTTTCTGGGGCTGGTTGATGAGTGGCAGTGACCAGAACTGCTGCAGAATCTGCAACCTCTTGGCAATTTCAAGAATTGTTGGGTTTGCTGCCCTAGTCTTAATAGCCTGAGGAGAGAAACTGAAATGAGGAGGGGACACAGAAACAAAAGGCTATAAATAAATTGATAAATATATTAAGATTCATGCATACAATTCAAACATGATTAAAAGAGGTGCTCTGATTTTTCCTGCTTAAAAAAGTGCTTGCACAGATTTTGTTTAAGGCAAAACGCTCCATACAGATAACCTAGGTGTATGTAATAGGATAGACCTTAAAGGTTTGGTTCAGAGGTGTAAAACTAGTGTCCCTGCAGACTACTGTAGTCCTTGGTGTTTAATTTAGTTCCATCCTGCAAATGTAGGTACTCTTAGAAGTAATGCTAATAATTGCTGGGCCCTGGGCTGATGTTGGTATGAGATTGCTGTAGCCTCAGAGGTGCTGAAGGATGCAGTGTTGGTGCTGAGGTAGAATCCGAACAAGATCCTCTTGACCTGCTTTAAGTGGAAAGACAAGCCCTTCTTTCCGCTTGGCCGGATTATCGGCTGTGGGGTGGGACAGTTGCCTTGGCAAATCTAAGGCTTCCTGCTCTGGATGCAGCTTTACAGTAATACCTTGGTAATGGCTGCAGAGGGACAAAAGGGAAACGGATGTTTATGCTTAGATTTTGTTCTCTGCTTAGCTGGAAGCTGCTGAGTGTTTTGCTGTCATGAGGAATGAATTGAAAGCGTTTCCATCCATTTGCTTCCCTTTATTTGAAAGCAGAAGGTAAACTGGTGTGTGAAACTCCTAGAGACTCCAGGGTTGTTCTGGGGACTGAATAGCAGCGTAACATAATAACGGGTTCCCATCAACATCATCTTCAGATGAGTTTCTGTCCTTTGGTGAGAGATGGAGCACAGGGTATCGGCATCATTGTGAATGCTAGATTTGGGAACCTTGAGCTGGGCAAGCGGATCCAGGATAGCTGTTGGGTTTTTTTAAAGCAGACAGTGAGGAAGCATTTTGATTCAGCTTGTTTATGCAGAATTGTCATCCTTGAAATAAGACCCAGATTTTGGGGTAGAGGGCTAAAGCATAGAGGCTTGCAGGAACAAAGTGCTTACTGAGGAAGGAAGCTGCCTTGCAGTTCTAAGAAAAGGATCAGACATCTAAACAAAAGAAATGAAGAAACAAACCAGAAAATCCTTCCAACATTGATTTAAAGATCTTCAGAAATAACTGGTTTTGTCGTGCCTTGGGGCCTGCCCTGAGTGTGGAGAGATCTTCAAAGTTCCCCTGGATGGGGAGGAGCAACGGGGAAACTGAGCATGGAACCACGCTGGATGAGAGGCCTTTAGTGGGAGAGTGAGACAGCTCTTCGTGTACAAAACCCTGGGCTGTGTATCAGCTAAGCTTTAGTGCTTTTGTTGAGCAGTTAGCATCTTCCTCTCACTTCCCTATGGGTTTATTAGCGAGTAGCTGCCTATTTGCTGCTTGCTCTTTTCTAACCTATGTTTCTTTTTGGCCCCCTTCTCTGTTTTTAGAGGATTTCCCCATGCCCTGCCCCCCTCAGCAGAGGTGCAGGGACATCTGAAGGGAGGGGAGTGTGCAGACAGGAACATGCAACTGCAAAGCAGAGACAGTCACTGATGAAAGATGGGAGGTGCTGCACTTCAGTGTCTGCTCTCGGCTGTGCTTGTGGGTTGCAATTTCTTCAGCTGCTCAGCACTTGTGTTGCTGTGCACCATCGACACGAACTCTTTGCTAGTGTGTATATTCTCTTTTTCAGAACCAGTATGAGAAGCACAAAGAGGTTGTTGCTGCTCAAGGTGTGAAGATTCTTGGGAAAGATTTGGAAAAAACATTGGCTGGTTTGCCATTGCTTGTAGCTTATAAAGAGGATGAAGTCCCAGTCCTCAAGGTGAGGTGACTAATGTTGAAATACAATACACTAACTTGAGTTCTCTGGTGATGAAACTCATTCAAATGTTGAGAGCTCAGTACACAACTAACTGGCTTTTTTGGTTGCTTTAAAAACTGTTCCAGTAACGTGCTGTAGCCTTGTGTCCATGTGAAGCTTTGATGTCTTTAGTGTCTTGACCATTAGCTTTTTCCCTGGTATTTTGCTGGGGTCTCTCTGTTGGTAGAATGAGATTTGAAAGCAAGTATTATGTCATAGTTTGACTGTTAATTACTGATTTGATATTTGTTGTAATTTATGCATATATTCTAATGACATTATATTAGGTACGTATCTGCTAGTGGAGTTCTTAAAACTGTCATAATTGCAAAACTGATTTAAGAGTTGTGTAATTTCTTTTCTGACTTAAAAAATGGTGGAGAGGATGTAGCTATCCTAAAACCCAAATTGCGGTGAGATGCTACTGTTCTCCAAAGGAAGGAAAGTGTTTTGGAAAGGAAACTCATGTGTTATTAATTAACTTTTAACTGTAGTTTTACTTTAGTCTTCTGTCTACTTATTTGTGCCTCTAAAGGGAGGTTAAACTTTTGGGATGTCCACACACAGACCTAGTTGCTTGGTACATACAACAATGTGTAGAAAGTGTCCTGCTGGGAGTAGATCTGTGGTGACCTCAAGTAAATGGCAACACCCATTTATCTGCCAGAGGAAGAGATGGGAGTGTTTGGGTTTAAAAAGGGAGGTGCTCTGAAAAAATGTGGGTTTGACTCTTCTGAAAGCAGCAAAATGGCCTTGCTGCTCTTGCATCCTGTTTTGTACCCAGGCCTAAAGAGAGTTCAGGATCCTTTCCAGCTCATGGCTTTACGTGTCAGCTTTTGCCATGGATCCTCAGGCAGCCACTGGCATCAGCACACACGGAGTGTTTGCTCAGTCCTCCCTGCAGACAGGGGAGAGCAATGTGCATTCTGCAGAGAAATGTTACTGACTCCCAAGATGGGCATTTGCCGTTTTATATGATCACATTCTTGCAAAATCCTCAGGTCTAGTTCAGCTCAGGCTTTTCTAATGTGGGAAACAATCACAGTGTCCCTCACAAGGCTGTGTGTGACTTACACTGCAAGTCTGAGCTGGGGCCTGTCAGTATGGCTGTCATACTTCCACCAGCTCATGAACAGGAAGATTTTGTACCCTGAACCATAAATAGCAAGAGAACTAAAAAATTTCCTTTTTCTAATTTTTTTTTCTTCTTTCTTGTAAAGGATGAACTAATACATGAACTGAAGCAAACACTGAATGCAATCAAATTAGAAGAGAAAGGTGTTTATGTTCAGGCTTCTACTTTAGGCTCTTTAGAGGCATTACTTGAATTTCTTAAAACGTCAGAAGTGCCAGTAAGTATTTCTGTGCTGTATCTGATGTTGTTGGTTCTATGATTTAGTCACTGTTTTCTGTTGACTTGGCAAGTTTAGTGACTTGATTTGTGTGGCTTTCTTCAACAGTATTCAGGAATTAATATAGGTCCTGTCCATAAAAAAGATGTTATGAAGGCATCAGTAATGTTGGAGCATGACCCACAGTAAGTAACTCTGCTTGACTCTGTTGATAAATGTGCTGGGGCTGCAGGAAGGACCAGTGCCCTCCTTAGCTCTGGCTCTGTGCTCTGTCTGGTAACTGCTGGACTGATCCTTACAGGTATGCCGTCATTCTGGCATTCGATGTGAGGATTGAGCGCGACGCACAGGAAATGGCTGATAGTTTAGGAGTGCGTATCTTTAGTGCTGAAATAATTTATCACTTATTTGATGCCTTCACGAAGTATAGACAAGACTACAAAAAACAGAAACAAGAGGAATTCAAGTAAGTATGAGCAGTCATATTCTGGATGCTTCCCAAATAAGTGCGTTGCTTATTTCAGTATACCTGAAACTGCATTTTACCTGTTGTTTCCTTGTTACTACTTGGTGATGGGAAGGAGGGGGAGGGTAGAGCAATAATTTTTCAAGAATTCAGTGCTCCAGACTAATTGTTTACATCTGGATTAGGCACAGTAGGATGAGAGTTGTGAAAGCTGTGCAGCAGGTACAAGATTGAGCTAGAACTGTTATGTAACATGGAGCGTTCTTTTTAACATTTCCTTTCTATACTTGGCTTCTGTTTCTAGTTTGTGACAGATGAGTTAGTCTCACAGCCTAAGAAAACAAAACTGAAGGGATTTGGATTCTGTTGTTTTATATTTTATGCAACTCTAGTGCAGAGGGCTTCTTTCCGACTGCAGTAACATGAATATGCAATCATTTAAGGATATATAGGGACCCAAAATAAATTTTTGGAATCATGTGTCATTGGGGGATCCTCAGTTCATATTGATCCCAAGTTGAGTTTGCATACTTCAGCATTTAAATGTATTTGTTCACTTTACAAACAAAAATCTTGAAATTTTTTGAGCCCTTGTGATGGGTTAAGGCACCAGTATTTCTACGCCCGTGCTCTTCTGCGGCTGTTATTATACTGTAAAATTCCTGCTCTTTCAGTCTTGGTCTAAGTTGAGTGCCCAAGCCTCTTAAAATAAAATCCAAGCCAGCCATGCTTCATTATTGTTCCCTGTAGTTCTTGAAGATCAGGTATGGACTGGTATTAGCAAGTTTGGAAAGCAGGTTTTTTCCTGCTTGATTTTTCCCCAAGTGACACTCTTAGAAAAATGCCCAAGAAGTGTGGGAGAAGGCAGAACTGTTAATGCTACATACGCTGTTCCAGTATCTCTTTCCAAGTGCCTTTTCTTTCATCTTCCAGGCATATAGCAGTGTTTCCATGCAAGTTGAAAATCCTCCCTCAGTTCATTTTCAACTCTCGTGACCCAATAGTGATGGGTGTTGTTGTGGAGGCCGGCCAGGTGAAGCAGGGGACTCCCATGTGTGTACCCAGCAAAAATGTGAGTAAGCGCCTCTTCCCAGGGCGTGTCTGATCCACCTGGTAGTTCCTGGGATGAGGCACCGTGGAATGTTTGCACACCTTTCCCCAGTGCGCAGATTTGTGGCAGGAGATGAGGTTCAGACTTGTAGATCAAGTCTCTTCTGGGGGTCAAGGATCTAATTGCCAGCAGAATTGAGCCCTGCCACTGGACACGGGAAGTGTGGCTGGAAGGCACCTGCCTGAGAGCCATCCTGCTCCCCCACTGCCAGTTCTGTGCTGTAGTAACGAGCACAGTTGCCATTCTGGTAGCTAAGAAGGGGGGAATTCAACTCCCAACACTTTGAGATAACCAGTTGATATCCCAGATGAGCTATGGGTAGTTGATGTTGCTGCCCTTTTCGGTACAAAGCACTTGCTGTGCCATGCTTTGCTTTGACCACGCCGAGGCGGCAGCTCCACCAGCGCTGTGCTTCCTGCAGCAAGTCTGCACGTACAGATGGGAACTTAGGGAAGGGTGTGTGCACAGGGGGGTGTGGATGTGTCTTACAGCTGCTTCACTGTATTACAGTTCGTTGAAATTGGAATAGTTACAAGCATTGAAATAAACCATAAACCGGTGGATGTTGCAAAGAAAGGCCAAGAAGTGTGTGTTAAAATAGAACCAATTCCTGGGGAATCACCTAAAATGTACGGACGACATTTTGAAGCAACAGATATCCTCGTCAGTAAGGTAAGAGCAATCTGTTTTTGGAGAGGGCTTAGGACAGAGTGGCAGTTTGCCTGAAGTGGAACTGTTGCATGAAGCCTGAAAACCATGTGAGGAGCTTCCCCTCACAGACTGACACACTTGGAACACGGTGCGTGTGTGGCATCGTTCAGCTGTTTCCTGTAGCCTTGGCTTGAGGTCTGTAGTGGTGTTCCCGGAGAGGCCTGGAGGAGCGATGGGCTGCGACTGAAATACCTTGCACTCCCAACACCCAAGAGGGTAAAATGCTACAGTCGCTATTCACAAACCATTGTCTGTAGCTGGTGCTCAGCAGTCCCCCACTGGTGTTGGAAATGATGCACTAAACAGCTGCCCTAATTGTGGAACACAGGGCTTGGATGGGGAGATGATCACTTGCTCCATCTTTACTGTTGGATGCCAAGCCACAGCTCTCCCCACTCCCAACTGCTTCAGTCACCATGTTTTAAAACATCCCCTGCCACACACATGCTGGGGGCATGTGCCCAAAAATGAGGGGTGAGTCGGGCCTGGGACAGGGACAGGGAGGGGGTGCTGGTCCTGTGGGCCCTGGTGGAAGAAGGAGACCTCTCCAGTTCTTGCCTTACTGCGTAAGGGTGGGATTGTCTGTCCATCTGCAGAGATAGACCACATAAGAGATGTGATGAGAAATGAAGGCAAATGAATGGGATGGTCATACAGCCAATCAGTAGCAAACCTGGGATCAGAAGGAGCTCTCCTGCTGTGCAGACTGATGCCCCTTCTTCAGGTTAATTATTTCCAATGTACTAAAACTGCCTTTAATGCACCTGCACGCGTGCGTTTCTGATGGGATTGTCTTGTGTGTTACAGATCAGTCGTCAGTCCATTGATGCTCTGAAGGACTGGTTCAGGGATGAGATGCAGAAGTCTGACTGGCAGCTTATAGTAGAACTGAAGAAAGTGTTTGAAATCATCTAGATAACTTTTTACAGCAATGGGGAGGCAGGAATAAATGCACTCTTCCTGTTCTAAAAAAGTTACCAACAAAGTCGTATATTTAAGACAGTGTTGGATATATGTTTGGGAGGAAAATATGTGGGTAAAATGTTTTCCATGAGAAACCAAGAAATTTACACTGGTTTGACAGTGGTCAATTTACATGTTCCCATGGTTCCAATGTGCCTGTTCACCTCTCCTACTGCCCTTCCTAATACTGGCTGCTGTTTTAAAGTTTGCCCTTCCTTCTCTCACACCTTCCTTCCACCCTCTGTCCCTCCCTCTCTCCAAAACAAAATAAATTGAATTTTTATTAAGAACTAAAGCTCTTTCACTTTTCTACTGATGAGAGCAGTGCTGCAGTATTTGATTAACCAAGCTTCTGCAGACTTTGTGATTCTCGGGACATTTTTGATGTAAGAAGTACTTCTTTATTTATGCATACCTCTTCCCTTGACTTTCTTTTCCAACATTCTTCTGCTTTGTGCCTATAGAAATTTTTTTAAATAGAAAATTAGGCAGTTGGATATCTCTGTATTTGCTTTGTGTGAAACAATGTTGTGAAGCATAGCTGCCCACCTTTTACTGCTTGTACAGTTCATGGAAGTCAACCTGTAATCATTATAATGCAGAGCCACAAATAAAGGAGATGGACAGAGTGTAGCCCATTTGTTTCAGTTTGCTTCAGTAATCAGTTTCACTCCATGGGCTGTGGCAGATGTGGAAAGGTCAGGAGGAGCTCTCTTGCCTCTCTCTCTTGGCAAAACGGTGGAGGCACATTCCAGCAAAGGTGTCTCTTCCTCTGGCTGCACTTCCCCCTGCAGTGTGTGCAGGGTGCTGATGTCCATGTTCCTGAAGCACTGGAGTGGCAGGCCAGGTGTTCAGCACAGCACAACTCCCGGAGGAGTTCAGAGCTGGCATCTCCTCTCCAGCTGCTGCTCAGAGCGGCGTCAGCACCTGCCAACAGCTGCCTGCCAGGGAGCTGCGACCTGGGATGCTGCATCAGAGCTGTTGGATCATCTGACACCGTGGGACTGAACCAGCTCCGAAGTGGATGTTGTTTGTCATGACCAGGAGTCAGCCTGTAATTCCAGCGTTTTCCTACCCTACCTTCCCCTCTACCTCCCTGCTGGATGACAGCTTGATATATTCCTACTCAGGCTGTCTCTGGGTATCTTACAGCTCATGCTGACAGGAGCAAAACAAGCGCTCTTCAGAAGCACAAGCTGAAACAAAATCAAGAAGGATCTTTCATCCAGCTGAGATTTTTAGCATTTAAGATATTTACAAGAATTTAACTTGCAACAAGCAGTTTGATCAGATTTCTGTCACTTAGATTACTTTTATGTTGGAAAAATCTGAATGTTATAATTGGGATTGTGTGGACTCGATTACAAAGGAACATTTATTAACTCACCTTCTTTGCAAATGGAATTTAATTTACCAGAATTTTTTTTTTGGTTAAACTTCAAACTTGCCATTGAAAAGGACTTTTTCAGTATGGTTGGTGTGTGGTGCAAATTCCCATCACTGGGTGAACAGAATTATCAGAGGGAGAAGACTGCATTTAATTGTTAACATTTTCTTTTGCAAACTATGCAATCATGAAAACTACACTAATAAAGTTCTTAAAAACACAGATGTCAAACGTTGTGGTCTTGATGTATTCTTGATTGTTTCCTCAAAGGTGGATGTTCTTCCCACAGGTAAAAATGCTGGGAAAAAGACCGTGCTTCTTTAGTGGCTTCTTCTTGTGGAACTTTAAAATACCTTCACTAAAAGACTTAAGGAAGCCCCAAGAGCTGGGGCGATTTATTTCACTTCTGCTACTCCCTACACCCTCTTCTGCAATGTTGCAGAAAGGGAACACAGGTGGGGATGAACTGTGGTATTTTAGAAGTGGCTCTGTCTTGAGCAGGAGCAAGGCAGAGGACAGTGCTCCAGGTCAGCTCCTCCCTCGCCCTTTGCAGCGCTGCTTTGGGGTGCCTTGTTCTCCTACCGAAGCACGTGTGTCCAGAGCTGACAGAACACACTTGGGCTTCAGCAGACGCTGTGCTTTGGGAGTGGCCAGCCCACTCTGGTTTGAGTCTTTGAAGGATGAAACTGAAAATGAACTCGTATTCTTCCCTCAGCTTAAAATCTGTAATAAAGTCAAGTGTAGAAGAAACCAAAGGTGGCCAGGTGCAAGTACAGCAGCCTCCTCCATGGGCTGAGGCAGTACCACTGTGCAGAACTTTGTGAAATTAATCAGAGCTGCAGCTTCAATAAAAGGGGTTCACCACATTCAAACTGAAGCATCACAAAATAGAATCAGTACAAAAATATACATACAGTTCTTTATTAAACAACTGTAAACACTTCACTGTAAAAATCCATAAAACTTTATAAACAAACATTTTGTAAATAGATTCTATACTACAATAAAAGAATTTTAACACAATTATTTACATGCAATACTGACAAATTTGGCACTTTCTGAAAAGAAATGTACAAAACACTTTGTTGTTTAAAAAGAAATTTGAAATTATAAAAACTCAGGGCATTACTATCATGCACTTTGCAAATACCTCACAAGCACTTATGGCACAGCTAGCGGAGAGCTCCAGGCTCTCATCAAGCTCTTCACTACAAGTTCAGATAACTTTTAATGTGCTTCCGTATGTTTGTTGTAAAACTACCTGAACATTGTCAAGAATGAAGTCAAATGCCATATTCCAAACTGATTCCACAGATGACTGCATTAACCTGAAGGTGAAAAGGAAGAAGAGAGGGAAAATTACCATTACAGAACCAGACTTTTACAATCAGGTTTGGTCTTCACAGGGTCATAGCAGTTCACCACAAATGGTGTTTTCATTCAGTTCTGGTAAAGCCCTCCCTCTTTAAATACCCCAGGTCTTACATAATCCCACAGATTCCTCTGCCACCCACTGGCAAAACTTCTGGTGTGAGCAGTGTCACAGCAGGTCCTAAACACTCGCATCTGGCAGTGCTGTGAGCCTGTGATTGGGTGACCTTCCACCCACTTCACATGGAGATCAGAAATTACAGGCTTCTGGACCCTCATCTTTCCTTCCTCATTCCAAGACAGAAATGCTACTTCTCTTCTTCCAGCAAATGCCAAGAGCGATGGACACATTTAAAGAACAGGTTTTGGGGGCACTAAAACAGAGTTTATTGCTAAGAACAGAACCAAATCATGGAGGCCCACGGAGTGCTAAGAGTTACCTCTATGACTCAGCTGCCACTGGAACCACATTAAGCAAATGCCCAAGGAAAACCAAGCAGCTCTGCACTCTCACAATCTCCTCCCAGATCGCTACACTGCAGGAGAGCAGAGGTTCCTACACTTGGAGCTTTGGAGGACGTAACTTTGGTATCATATGGACAAGTGCACATCATCCAGCTCCTGATTCCTTGTCCCATACTTATTACAGGGCCTTGCAAAGACACAATGCCATCAGTACAGAGCTCACATCGTGGGACCGGGAATGGGACATGATGCTTTCTGAAGAGTTTTATAAAGAATTCACTATGCAATATTCATAAAACAGTTCATTGCAATCACTGTGTGTTTTGCATTTTCTAGGCCCTAAAGACTTCCCATAATACAAAAACCGAGTGAAGTTTCTACACTGCTGCAGTCTTTTAGGTATTGATTATTCTGTGAAATATATACTTTTCAGATCTAAAACAAAGAAAGCTGAGCTCCACAGTTAAGAAGCAGTTAGTAAGCAAGTCATAAATGGAATGTTGGTCTCCTCACTCATGGGAAGAGTAATAACAGCATAATAACTACGTAATAGGAATGGATTCAGTAAGTTGGAGGTGAGACAGGAATACAGCAAGAGAATGAAGTCAGGTCTAAGATACCATGAAAAATTAATGAAAATGGGATGAAAAGAAGGGACAATGCTGATGAAAACTGCATCCTTCGTCTAGAAACAAAAGACTTGCCCAGAGAGAAGCTGTGGATGCCCCATCTCTGGAAGTGTTCAAGGCCAGGCTGGATGGGGCTTTGAGCAACCTGGCCTAGTGGAAGGTGTCCTTGTCCATGGCAGGTGGTTGGAACAGATGATCTCTAAGGCCCCTTCCAACTCAAACCACTCTGTGACTCTAAGAAATACTACTAAGTGCTACCCCAGTTTTTATATAAAATTTAAGCCTAAAATATTTACACTCATCAATGGAATGTCCAATGGACTTGTGGCCTCACAGTGAAGCATCTTGTGTATGAATATTAACAAAAACAGTCTAAAATGTCACAAGTACTAGCAATGAAGTTACCTTTTCATGTACTTAACAACCAGATCTAACTTTTCCAAATCTTTTTCCTCTATTAGATCAGTACAATACTTCACAACCTGTAGAATGTCTTCTTCCATAGGATCTGTAATACAAAATCATTTAAAAAAAAATGAGATCTTCTGTCTAAGTATACTCAGAAAATAATCATAGAATAATGGGAATACAATAAAAAGAAATTCTGCAGTGTCAGTGCCTCAGGGGCCAACCTGACAATTGCTGTATTCCCACATGACCCCCAATATCAGAAGTTGTGCACATCACAGGACTGCAAGGTTCTCAAATATCTGTCTTGTAGACATCTTTTTCTTCAGTAAGAACAACTAACAGCCAAGCTAGCACTAACCAAAGGGAAAAGAGACTGGAATTTAGAATGGAATGGCTGTTTTGAAACTTTCAGAATAGTAATGTCCAGGGTAGGAAGGTCAGATTTCCCAAAATATAAAGGAGTTGTTATTTGTTTCACATAATGTTAAAAGTCAAATCACAATGTAGCAACAGTGTTAACACTTTGGCACTTCTTTTTTTTTTTCCCTCGAGTTCTTTCCAGCATTTATTTTGAGAAAAAAAACCAACTGTGCATTCCTTTGTCTCTAAAATTACATTTTCATAGAAGAGGAATTTCCTTTCAAGAAGTTTCACCCCAGTGGTTGTAATACATGTAAAAAATCAGGAAAACCTCCAACACAAGTAATATCAAGGCACAAGACACACGGGTTAAAGAGGGATCATGCAAATTTTCATGATGTTAAGCAAGACACAGGAGCTGGCAAAAACACAGAGTGACAAGTGATAGAAAGAATCAAGTTCCTCCAAGACCAAGACTTGCAGTAAAGATTTCAAGATTACTGTGAAAAAAAAAAAAAAAAGGAAGAAAGTAAAAGAAGTCTACTAAAAGTAATCTTCCTTGTATTGTATGCAAGATTCCCACTAGTGTGACATCCCGCACCTGAAATAGTTGTGATCCATTCCTTCAACAACGCCTTCACATCGTTGAATTCCACAGCTCCAGCGAGGTTTGGTGCTTGAGGCCTAAATGAACTCGGCTGCTGGTGGGTCTGCAGAGTTGAGGAGCCCGAAGAATCCGAAGTTGATGGAACTGCTTCTGGCTGTTCCAAACATAAAAGTTGATAATGCTCTGACAAATATGGTAAAACCATGTATATACACATAGATAAGTGTCTGGCAAGGAATCTGGTAAAGGACACCAGCTGCATTTGTGAACATGAACTAAGTCTAAAGAAGCACACGTAGCTTTACTGTTAGTGTGGAAAGTACCTGAGCAGCAGTTCCTTCTTGTTTCAAGAAACCATCTATTAGCTTCTGTGGGCTTCCAGATGTAGCTGGCATGTTTTTTGCAGGGCTACCAACATGTTTGTTTTTCAGAGGACTCTGAATCTTTTTTACAGGACTGACTGGATTTTTTTTCCGTATTTTTTTCTTATTTTTCATAGTTGTATGCTTCAGGTTTAAGAAAGGATTTTTTGACACTGAAAAACACAGGAATAGTCAGTTGTTGATACATTTAAAACTTAAAACTTTTCCATTGATAGGGGAACTCTGTATTTTGCACAAAAATCTAAGAACCACCTGGGAGAACACGACCTAGATAACGCAACCTTAACATTCACATGCCATTCCAGATCCTGGCAATGTTTTAAGTATTTGAAAAGTACTGCTAGACATTACTGTACTCAGAGGATACTCAGCTATTTGTCAGCCTTTCAATATGGAGTATTTCAGTACTTCAATATGAGCAACTGGTGAAACCTGAAGTCTATTGGACAAATTGCCTCACCTCAGAGCCCTGTCCCACCAGTGGTTATCAGCAAAGCCAGCAGTGTTGAGCCCCCCCCCCCTCCAGTGCTTTTATGAGAGTTCATGAAGGAAATTGCTCTCACTCCGTCATACTCACGTATCTGTACTAGTTCACTGGCTATGAAATCAAGGTGTTATTATAATAATGCAGTATTTAACTGGCAGTGAACCCAATGACATTTCCAACCTATTTCATGAGAAAGCACATTCACAGGGCATTAATCTTATTTCTTTCTACTGATTAGAAAAAGGAGACCTGGATGATCAGCTCAGAGTAAACCATCTAAAAACTAGACACATGGTGTGATGTAGCCTATCTCTATCTGCCCAAAACCCATATCAGTGTTTCAGGGAACCACAAGAATGCTCTCTGAACACAGTTGAACTACTATAGGTACTGAAAATGCAAGACTTTAAATCACAAGACATATCAAGTTTAGATTCCACTCTGCAAACATATGGCCGTGGGTAAGTTTAGTGCCACAGTCCCCATGAATTGAATTAATTACCCATTTGAGTAACGCT